AGAAGTACGTGGATCACATAGAAAATAAGTGAACTGAAAGAGCGAGGTTAAAACAAATTATATTTTCCATGCGTTCCAATTTGTTTCTTAAACCTTTTCCATTACAGTTGTTTAATGATTTGGTGTATTTAATTTGTTCTTTTAGAATCAATAATTACTGTTTACCTTCCAGTGCACGTTTGTTTACATTCTTTCACCCCGCATTTGCGCTGTGCGGTGGTCGAAGATCGCACGAAAGTTCTCGTTAAGATTTTCTGTTACAAGAAAGTCCACGTATACTTGTTTTATGGTAAAAATTAGCCATTCAAGTATATAAAACACAGCAAACATTTGTTTTCAATTTGAAGTATCATATGACTTTAAAATCACTTGAATCAGGATAGTCGGCCTCGCAGAACAATTTTCTGCTTCTACACCTGCCCAAAAGTCAAAAGAAATCGTAGGAAAGCAGTTTTAAAAATAAGTTTGTTTAAACAGAAACCATTATTTGATTGACAAGACAAAAGAAAACGAAATTATGTAAACATTTTCAATAAAACAAACACAATATCAGCACAACCAAATTATTCACAGATGACTGCGATCACATAACCAACAAACAACATAGAAACAAAACTTACCCAAAACGAAATCTCATAAAGCTCAAGGTTATATTAAGCGTTCTGCAAGATAAAAAGTATATACAAAGCTTATTGAAAGGGTGTATTTTGTACATAATCTGTTATAAATTTTCTTTGTGTAATCATCTATTTTAAAATCCCCTTTTTAACACCAATGTATGAAATCAATGTCAGATGCCTCGAAATACACTTTGCTTATCCACTTGCTTTGTTTAGGCAGGGATAAACGTATTCCTGCATAGGATCCTGCATAGGAATGGTTTCACTTTGTAAACAAATATACAATTGGAAGCAAAGTCGATAATTATAAAATGGAATATTTAAAATATTAATTTAGTTTTGTTTATGCAATATTATTTGGTTTTCATGTCAATAATAGATAAAAAGAATAACAGGAATTACCAAAAATATCAGACAGTACAACAGACCACATCAACCACCAACAACCGATTCCTCTTAAGGTAGATAGGGTGTCTAAAATAAAATCAATAGAATTTTTTAATAATTTGTCAAAATGTAGTTTATACCATGCTTTTTTCAAAAATATAATAAAAGTTATGGGTCACCGGGCTTTTTTCACGCTACAGGTTGTGCAAGATTGTCAGATTTTGTATAGATTATGCATGGAAAACCCAATTTTGTGTGATAAAAAGAAAACTGCACCATAGAATTTTAAGATAAAATATGAGTAGATAGCTCTTATAATATGCTTTCGGATAATAAAAAGAAAACATGGGGTCACTCGTTTTCTTGCTACAAAATAGGTAAATTCACAACACATTCTATTATAAAAGTAACATTATCTAAGTTATCTCCCATTATATCTGAGTTATCTCCCCTTATGTGACAAAGTTGAAAAAAAATTAATCAAACAAATATGTCTTGTTTCTACCTGATCGATCTCAAACTAACGCATCGCATTTTCAAAATATGTATTCAATCAGTTATTAAAGATACATTTTGTTTGTCGTTAATTTATTAAAGATCCCTAAATGAATAATTTAGATGAGAGTCAATTAACAATTTGCTTTTGTGTGAATTCTAATCACTTGATATCACTTATCCATGTATTTATAGGAGTAACACGACGGAAGTCACATGTGGAGCAGGATCTGTTTACCCTTCCGGGGCACCTGAGATCAGCTCCGGTTTTTGGTGGGGTTCTTGTTGATTTTCTATGTTGTTCTTTGTATACTGCTGTTTGTCTTTTGGTAATTTTATTTTTTTTGCCATGGCGTTGTCAGTTTATTTTTGACTTATGAGCTTCAATGTCGCTTTGGTATCTTTCGCCTCTCTTTTACCTGTGATTAAAAAAAACGAAGAAAAAAACAAACTGCGTTCGAAGCACTTTTCCCGGTTTACCTACAATAGGGACGTCCAATTAAGAAAAAGTGAAAGATAGGGATGTTTAAATATTTGACGAGCTATATGACAAAATTGGACTTGGCACCTGAAAGAATACCCAGGAACCATATAATTTCAACTTTGTCTGATGCAGTTGTAACCTTAGTCTCTGATAATTTCTTAATTTCTTATTTCTTTTTAGAAATGTTTATTACAAATCATGTCAGTGGCGGAGCACTGACTACTTGACTAACTAGGCTAAACGGGCATACAGTTATTTTCGAATTTCATTTCTGAAGATTAAAACTTCGGCATTATAAGTATCACAAAGACAGTTGATCTCTTGTCGAACACTAGTATCCATTTGTCTTAAACTTATAACGTAATAGTTTTGTCTTGATCGTGTTATCAGCGTTTATCCCAGATCCTTGTTGAAACAAAACAACAAATCGGCAGTATTTGGGAATTGCCTTAAATATTATTAATCAAAATTTATACATATTGTATAAAATCGATCTTTCACTGTAGTTATCGCAGATCGCGTATTAAAAATAACACCATAAATGATCGAACTGAAAATATGAGTTTATCGCTGATGATAACAACAGTACTGTCATACATAAAAACAAAAGACTTCCATCGATAAAAGTAACAGTTTTGCCAAAAATCACTAAGGGAACACAGGTGAAGGGACAGTGGTGTAACAGCACAACATAAGAACAAACTAATAATCAGTTGAAAATCGCTCGACTAATCAGATCGTCACATAGCACAAACAAACTAATAACATACAGGCAAAACACCCACAGTTCCGATTTACGAGTACTCGTTTTGACAGAAAACTAGTTCAAATGTAGGCACAAGTAGTTTAGTTATTTTCAAATCGATTAAATCGGTTAAAAAGACAAATCAAGGTTACAAAAAAAACTGAGGGAATCGCATGCCTTTCAAAGGGAGCAAGTCCGTGTGAGTCCACAAAGTAAGCGTCTCCTGCTTTACGTGCATCACCCGCCATGCGAATGCACAATCAGTCAAAATGGAATAATCGGGAATAGGACACAATCGTTAAAGTTACAGATCAGACTGAAAATCTATGACACCGACACATCGTATCGGTCAATCAATTCGTGGTGCTGACCGTAAAACTTATGTAGTGTCGATTTCAGTTGTTCTTCCTTAAACATGTAGCTCTGTTGGAGCAGTTCTTTTGTAAGGATCACACCCCTGTTATTGAGACCCGTATAGTGTGGACATGCAAGTGCGTAACGTATAAATCTGTAGACGTCATACGATAAAGCGGAGGATTTGTTGCTGCTGAGAAATAATGGGAAGATGAAAATTGGAAAGTTAAAATCACCAAGTTTGACTTAGATTTTACTTTGAAGTTGTCCATCTGTGTTAATATTAAGGAAAAGATCAAGATATGAAGCAGACCATTTACTTTCAGTAGTAATGTTATTCTCAAGTTTGCTAGGATATATGAGATGTTAGCATTGAAATTTGGGAGATTGAGTGACAGATCATAAAGTGAGTTAAAGAACTTTGTAAGATACTTTTTCTTTTTGTCTTTGAGAATGCTCTGTATTGATTCGGCTTCGTGTGAAAACGGTAACACAAGTTGGTCAGTAGTGGTGCAAAATTAGTACCCCATTGGAATACCGACTGCTAAAGTATCAATCCACCAAAGTTAACAAATACGTTGTGGATAAAAAAAAAAGTCCAGCATTTTGATGAAATCATCTACGATGCATTTGTTTTTGGAATCAGGTGTTCTTCACTGAGTAAGAAATCTCATGACCTTAAACAAGAAATGTGTGTCTACATTTCTAATTTTTGTATAAGAGCCCTGGTTTGATTAGACGATATAGTATATCTTTCAATTGTATCATGAGGAAAAGTAGTGAAACACGTAGCAATATCAAATGCTTTGATATTACTATACATTTGTAATGATTGTGATTGAAGATTTTGGAGTAGATCTTAAGATTCACTAAGAATGCACATCTGATTGACACTGCTGGTTGGATAAACCTCATCACAATATTTCCGAAGGCCATCTTTTACTAGAGAAAGAATTTGGGTAGGAACCTAAGAAATATTTTTAGTCAAACATCTTGACGATCCGGCTATATATCGTTCTTTTTTTCTGTTTTGTTTTTAGCTTGATTTGTATCTTCATAATGAATTTTTGAGATTGTAATATCGACAAGAAAAAAAATACCTCATCAACGATTGTGTACGGTTCGTCTACAAAAAGACTCACCAGTGACTCTCTTACCAATAAACAACTGTTGCCTCTAAGTTACTTACACTTTTTAAACGTGCCTGTCAGAAGCCTTGAACCTATTATCAATTGGTTTACGTTATGTACGGTTTGCCATAAATGTTTTTCGTTTACTGTTTTAGTATAAACCAGGCTGTTGATTTATTCTTTTGAATTGTTTCACATTTTTCATCGTTGGCTGGGGTTAAAACTTACATAAAGGCATGGGTTTTGCCAATTGTTGCAGTCCCCATGGTGTCCATTAACTGTTCATGTCTTTGTCCTTTTGTCTAACATGGATAGTAAAAAAGATGGTTGTAAACGTATTTCATAAATTATGCCCAACAGATACATATAGTTTTCGATAGCACAGATTTTTTTTCTGGCAGAAACTGGTATCGTTAATGGTATTCCAAAAAAAAGGGGAAAAATGAGACACGACGGTTGTCAAAAAAGAACAATTAACGCATTATCAATTGTCCAATTAATTACATTAATTAGTTTTGCATTTGCATTGTTTTGGTTATATGATCTCTCCTGCCTCTTTTTTTATTGCAATTTATAGAAATGATGTGCCGAAGACAACTCGGTTTTCTTACTTTAGAGACAGAAGTGTAAATGACATTTTAGAGGTCATTCACTGGAACGTATGCCTTATCATACATGAACCAGATGTAAAGTTATATATCAATGGGAATTTCTTCATAATTATCAGGTGTTATTTCCGCATAAGTACCTGTGTATCTATATCATTGTTCTCAGTTGTAAAAATCAAAAATCAGAAAATGAATCGATTTATTGCGCTTGTTTTATTACCAGCATTTGTATTGGGTTGCTGCCCTCCAAAACAATGGAGAGGTATGGTGTTTGTAGATTACTCAATGCGGGGTGCTGATGGAATGGGTCACCGGACTGAGGTAAATAATGGTTTCCGCACTTACAAATATTAAAATTTATGAAAATACTGAAGTAAGCCTAGTTATAATAACGTTTGAAATTAATAATCTACATTTGTAATTATCTCAATGCATAAACAGGGATGAAGTTTACATCATGAATTGATCACTTTAGAAATGTACATAAATCCAAGTCATACAATTCGTATATTATTTTTATTTACTTCAACTAACTTTCCACTTTTTCATGAATGTTACTTTTAAGCGAAAATGGTAAAATTTAAAAACTACATATTAGGTAAAATGGATGCATCCCAATTTCATATCGGAACACTGTTTATGTCATGTGTATATTACATATCGGAACACTGTTTATGTCATGTGTATATTACATTTTGCAATACATGTCCAAATATATATTCTGCCAATAATTTAAAGTCTTATATTGAAGATGTCGGAAGGTCTGATTTACGATCAAACAGCAAGGAAGTTGGTTACAAATCAAACATTAAGTGTAGACGGGGGACCTGAATTTTACCAGGTAGCTTTACTAGACTACAATACGGTAAGTATTGAAATGAATTCTAATTAATAAAATGTTAATACATGAAAACAATCTAAATGCGTAGCTATTTTCCCTTGACTGCAAATTAAAAAGTGCTATTTCCTACTATCATTTCTTCATTTTGTTTATGTCAAATGCATCATTTAATCTTACTCAAAAAAGTCATAACAATACATAATACACAATATAAGACATTGTAACATACCACACAATCTACTAAATTTGAACAAGACATACAATTAAAAACGAAATAACACATGAATCAGACATCTTGACTGGGAACAGATACGAAATGGGGGAGGATTAAACCTGTTCTACGTGGACAGAAACCCTCCGCTTTGCTCGTTTATAATGTCATATGTTCATTAGAAATAAATGCCTCTGATAAAGCGTCCCCACCTTAACTCTTCTTTCAATAGATTTAAAGGTGGAAAGAGAACCAGACATCACTTTATTCAGATGGACATTTTAACATTAACCTCGACACTTTGTTTTTCCACCTCAAAATCCGATGACAACAGTCAAATATTTTTTTGGAAGTTATGCCCTTTGGAAATGTAAATCAGTTGGGATCAAAAGGGTCTTAAAGAACCCTTAACAATCTAATAAATGTAATTATTGCACATTGACAGATAAGATATGTGCATCCGTGGAGGATATTGTAACTAAGTTCTTCTACTATTATGAAAACAATGTCTGGCATGTCTATATATACATTTATATTATATCTTCTTTAATGTTTTAAAATCATAGACCTAGTAGCTTTTGTATTATTCCAGTTGATATACTTGTAATGGCGAAATTCTGATCATTAGCCTTTCTCCATTGGTGTAGCATGGCAATAGTGTCGAAAAATTTGTGTGTTTTTTGTGTTTTCTTTATGAAATAGATTTTTTTTAAATGTACAGGGCATGGAGTACATAGTCCGGGATAACAAGTGTACGACAATGAATATTACAACCATGGAACCAGGGTGTATACCAAGTAAGTTGCCAAGGATGATAATTTTAGCAGCTCTCACACTATCCAATCAAACACAAAATGATAACAAATCAGTGATATCTCAATATACTTGTATTCACTCAGTCTACGATATTCAAAAATTAATAAATACAAAAAATGAATCAAAATTATGTAAATACACTATACATGAAGTTTCGACTGTGCAGTACTTTGATTCAACGCCCTTCTCTTGGTTAATGACACGTCAACGAATCTAGGCTTATAATTTAGGTTGCTTAATGCTTTACATAAGACTCTTCAGATGCGCTGGATTAGCATATAATCTTTAGATCATATGCTTAAATCTAATGAATTTATAAAATGTAAATAAACAGACTTCATACCTACTGTATCTTCCTGTTAATCCGTAAATTGCATCACAAAATAAAAAAAAAAGCATAAGCTTTCAACTTCCTAAGGCCGAGTTGACCTCAGATGAATTTGGCTATTCTGTTTAGGTCTTTTTTATGTATCTTATATCTCATGAAGTTGCAGCGCATTTACGCATTCCTGGCTTTCAAATTTTGGGTTGAGCGTTCCTGATGAGGATGAATCCAGAAAAGCGCATCGGAGGCAGAAAATTTGTAAAGTGATAATTTTATTGAAAGTGAAAGACATTTACAGATGAATTGTATGAGATAGTAGAATAATATTCTTTATCAACGCTTTTTTCATTTGTGCCCATGAAAAAATATTATAAAAATTGTGTTCTGAAAATTTTGGGTTTCAATTTTTCTAAAATATTTTAGCAGTTATTTATCTTCATTCCAGCTAATGCAACTGTAGTGAAACAATCATACATTGGTGCTGGAGCAGCTATGGTTAAAACAACAATGTACAGATTTGTAGAGGGACAAATGCTTGTTTACCTTACTGTTGCGGATGATGGCTGTGTTCCAGTTATATACGAGAGTGCAGGAATGAACAGTAAAGGAGGTATTTACATCCTGTAAAGAGCCACATACTTTTATTTTAGCTAATGAAACAACTGCCCATCATACTAAATAGTCCAAACTATGTGAATGAAAGTAACGATGGGTCTTGAGAAGACAAAATGTAAAACAATTCAAACGGGAAAGACAGCTGCTAGATTAATATCAAAACAATCTACACACAAATCTTACACAAGGTCATGTTTTTCTTTGACTGTTAATGGCGTCTTTACACTGAATTTATTGGATGTTGGATATTTACTGATTGATATTTTAGTCTTAGATACATGTTTTTTATTATTTTTTTTTATTGCTTTTGAACTACCTGTCAGTAACTTCGAGTATTCTCTGTCAGCTCTGTACTAAGGGTCTTTCTGTTGTGGGCTGTATAAATACCCTGCCACGTCCAGTCTGTGTTTTTGTCAGTTGTTTTACTGCTTTTTATCAATCTATTGAGTTAAACCTTGTTCAACTAATTGTTATAGTTTGTTCTTATGTTGTACTGTTACACCACTGTCCCAGGTTAAGGGGACGGACTGTAATTCAGTTGTTGTCGTTTGTTGCTGCATATCATATTCGTTTTTCGTTCATTGTTTTGTGCATAAATCAGGTCGTCAGTTTTCTCGTTTGAATTGTTCTACATTTGTCATTTCGAGGCCTTTTATAGCTGACTATGCGGTATTGGTTTTGCTCATTGTTGAGGCCGTACAGTGACCTATAGTTGTTATATGTCATTTAGTCTCTGTTGGAGAGTTGTCTGATTGCCAATCATACCACATCTTCTTATTTTTATACAAAAAAAACAAGTTTGTGATGAAGGTAAATCTAGAAAAGCGCCTCATATGCACGATAATTATGAAGTGGTTTTTCATTTAACTAACGGTCAAATTCGGAAAAAGTGAACATGTGACCAAAAAAAGGAAAATTATTATGTATATGATTATAAAAATGAAATGTTATATGTCAACTCTATTTTGTGGATATACGATGAATGACATCGACAGTAAGACATTGAATTATTTATCTAACTCAAAATTTATTTGTTATTATAAATGACATCATTGACTTGTCTAATTCTAACCGCATTTTTCATATTTTTAAATAGAATCCGTTAAAATGGGAATACAGTATTTGGGAATTGAAGCAGTTGCGTCTGATGCATCAGTATTTAATTTACCAGCCAGTTGTGTAAGTAAATTAAGGCAAAAGTAGTTTACAGATATTCAAATCTCGCAAATAGATTAAGAAGAGACAAATTTTGGTAACAAAAAAGAACTGAGGGAATCGCATGAATCCCCCCAAAAAACTATATTCTTGAATAACGGCATACTAGATACCTTAAACACAAGTCCATAAAACAATTGTAAACAATATGTAGAATTGCTGATATGTAACATGTAGAAATAGCTTCTTCAATTCATGGTTTCTTTATGTCAATAAATACTCTATTCTTTGTTTTTGAAATATGCGTTCCATTGTTGTTGTTCAATAATATAACAAAATCATTGTAATTATGATGATAATAGTAATTTGGCTTTTATTTCATTGTAGAGTATGAGTTGACGTGTTAAGGCTAGTGATTGCTGATTGACTATTACGGGTAACCCTTTTTCGAATAAAATTTGAAATATATTTGTACAGTTTTGATTTTGCATTGTTACCATCATACCTAGATACATTCTTAACCTAAGTAATAAACGGAAGGCTTAGACTAACATAGAGCAGCTAAAATTGCCCATTTGGAAAAAAGTATAATATTGATATTGAACTAGAAATATGGGTAATACAAAAAAAATATTCATCAAATCTTCCAACCCTCTGCTCAAACCGAATACACATACACATACTATTCATTCATGTTGTTTTCAAAATAACAGACAGAAACATTAAATTGGTAAAAAATCGATACAGGGTAATAATTCGAGTCGAGTGAAAGTAACATTATATTGACTTTTGTGTACATATTAAATTGCTGACCGTTTTCGCAGTTTCTGTCTCGCTTTGATAGCATACAAGATAAAACGCCAAAATGGTAAAACGAGTAAAATATCGTTTTTTATCGGTAAGTTGTTCTTTAAGGCGTCCCGTTTTATTGCACATCTGCACTGTGTCTAAACTACCCCGGCCAAAAATGTTTGGACTCAATAGTATCTAATATCCGGTACGGTAACGGACCATCAACAGACAGAGAAAAGGTAGGATTTCTGTTTATTTATTTGTTATTTTTATTTTATTGAAGAATATTTATACACATATAACTGTTTTTGATTGTGAGATATAATATTTTCTACAACCGTTCTATATTTATAGAGAAATAAGTAAAAAGGCACATCAAAATGGTGAATTGAGTGAACCTTGCCTCGAATTTGTTTAATTTCTCTTTAAATTTTGCACATTGTACGGGAAGAAAGGTACGGAAAGAAAGATATTAACACGGAGATCGTAAGGCTAGTCAATTTGAGCACCTCAATATTTGTATTTCTGTGCATGGAACGAAAGAAATGGGTGATGTCAAAATTGAAGGACCCGGTTTTGTCAATGTGTACGACCCGGTTTTTTCCTATAATTTCACATAGCAGGACACGGATTTTTCATAGAAAATGATGCATAATCGCATAAGTTTCCATGCGGCGCAAAGGATCACAATAATAATGCGTTAAAAATCTTTTTACCCCTCATTGTAACTATTATACTAAATATAAATCAGTATAATAGTCTCAAGCCATCCAGAAAATGCAATAGTGATTATTTTATTAATAATTTTATAAATAAACGGTTCTTTTATCTCTGCATTGTGTAATAATTATCGTACATTGACAAATTTTCTACATTTTAGCGACGTTGGTCGAGTTTATAACTGTCAATTGAAATATGCATGGGAGGATCGAGGATTTTTAAAAGGGGGCATAATTCCGTAAATGGATAAAAAATCATATGAGATAATCCTTTTTCAACTGATTTTTATCGTTTTTTCTTATGTTGTGCTGTTTCACCACTTTTCTTTTCTTTTTCTTTTTTTTTTTGAGGTCCCTTTTTACTTATTTCTCCATTAATCTAGAACGGTTGTAGAAAATATTATATCTCACAATCAAAAATAGTTATATGTGTATGTAAATTCTTCAATAAATTATAATAACAAATAAATAAACAGAAATCCTACCTTTTCTCTGTCTGTTGATGGCCCGTCACCGTACCGGATATTAGATACTATTGAGTCCAAACATTTTTGGCCGGGGTAGTTAAGACACAGTGATCTGTGTTCACATGAATTATCATTGATATGGTCATAATAATAAATGAACAGTTTACAAATCTTTGAATTTTTCGAAATACTAAGGATTTTCTACAGAATGGATTACATTAGCTGTATTTTTGCAAAATGTCGAAATTTTGGGTCCTCAATGCTCCAAGCAGTGTTTTTTCTATCTGTAACAGGTTGTCAAGATTAAAAGCAAAAAAGGTAAATTGATTAAAAATCATCCTTCATGGGCAATAATTCCAAGAAAAATTAGCTAAATTTGTCAGTCAGATTGATAATTCTTGTATTGCTGTACAATTTTTTGTTTACTGGCTGTCTATGAGCTATGTATTGAGATTTATTTTTCAAAATAATCTATAGAAATACTAGAATTCTTCTTTAACTTCATTAAAAGCCAGTAGCTCCTAAAAGATAGACGAAAGATACCAAAGGGACATTCAAATTCATAAGTGGAAAATAAACTGACAACACTATGGCTAAAAAAAGAAAACTAAACACAAACAAAAGTACACAAAACACAACACAGAAATTTAAAGACTGAGCAACACGAACCCCACCAAAAACTGGGGGTGATCTCAGCTGCTCCGGGAGGGACAGCAGATCCTGCTCCACATGTGGCACCTGTCGTGTTGCTCATGTAGTACAAATCCGGTGATAAGTCTAATTCGGAAGGTCACATTCGGGGAAAAGGGTACGGAATTGTTGTTACGACGATTTGAACATAGTCATGGCCATGGTGTGTCAGTTTATTTTCGACTTATGAGTTTGAATGTCCCTTTGGTATCTTTCGACTCTCTTTCTCAAGTTAGTTTATTGGCAAAAATGCTAGAATTGATAAATTTTGTCATTTACGTCCAAAACGCCTTATAAGGAGTTTTCTGATAATTTTTGTATAAATATAGAGAGTATGTAGATTTTGAACATTTTGTCTCTTGAATTATCTGTATGTTTAATGGTTTTCACGATTTTAGATGATCGTCGTTAAAATAATTTCGAGGACACTTGTTTAAAACATCTATAGAACAAAACCAAATGTCAGGAAAAACAATTAAAACATTACAGAAAATTTTGCAAAATCTATACTTATATATGAGAATTGTTTCTTATATGAAAAAATTTTGTACTTATCATGAGCAACAGGACGGGTGCCATATGCAGAACACGATCTATTTACTCTTCTTGAGCACTTCAGATCATCCACAGCTTTTAATATTGTCCGAGTTCCTCAGTCTTTCTTTTTCTACGTAGTGCTTTTTAGACTGCATGGTGTTTGTCTTTTCATCGGTGTTTTTTTTTTATTGCCATATGTAGTTGGTATATCTTTGTTTATGAGATTTGTTTTCCCCTTCGGTATCTTCCGCCTCTTTTTAACACTTTTAAAATACTTTTTGTGAATAGTTTCCTGTTAAACTGACCCACATATTTTGGCTGATTTACTTATGAATGCATAATTCCTAAATTTCATACACTAAGGACACATAACAAGTTTGTAATACGCGCAAATTAAAGAGGTTAAACATACATTTTGAAAATCTGTATTACGATTACCGACCATGTTGGGTTTAAATGTTTGATCCTAGGTCAATTAATGATTCAAAGCTGTAAATTAATCTGCCTTCCCTTCCAACATAGATATAAACATATAAACAATTACAAGAAAAGCACCTGTCTGCTTATAAACAGCTAAAGATAGAAAGGAAGGTTGTAGTAAAACAAATTTTCATATTTTCATTTTATTTGTTGTTATTGCACTGATAAGTACAAAGGAGGCAGGAGTTACCAAGGGGACATTCAAAACTCATGAATCGTTGACAAACCGATATCACCATGGAAAAACGACAAAAGACGAACAACTACACAAAACACTTCACTAGAACATTGACATCAACTTGCTGTATTCAATTCAAAGTCTGCGTTGGCATTCACCAGGCCCACAAATATACAGAGAGTAAGAAAACATAATAAACAACGCATATATACACAATTCTCAAATGGTCAAGTTTTAAGATATTGAACAAAACCGCATTCAACGTTTTGTTCCATTATTAAATTTATATCAAATGAGAATTTTAAAAAACTCAGAGAGAAATCATAGAAAAAAATAAGGAGGGAAGCCAGTATCATGCCATACATAATTTTCAAAGAAAAAAATTACACCGAAAACTATGTTTGAGCGATACGAACCTGGAATGAACTCACTGAAAGCCCTTTTCTTTTGGTCATGTTATTCATTTTGAAGGCCGCACTGTGACCTATTATAGTTCTTAACTTCTACATCATTTGATCTCTGGTGGAGAGTCGTCTCATTGGTATTCATAACACATCTTATTTAATATAAACCTGCCTGTTGAAGGTCAGTATCATACATATTGTTGTTCTGAACGCCAAAGATGCCACTATAGACAAATGGTACATATATATCCAAAAGCGATTTATAGTTTTGTTTAAAAAAATTAAAACCAATGGGAAATATTCTCCAAATGAAGTGTCAAATGCAAAGAAAATAATGACGATTGGCCAATTTTTTGAAGAAGTGAAAAAAAAAAGATTAAAAAAAAGGGTCAAAAGTCAAAATGCAATAATTATATGTTTACACTTTTCCGACCAAATACAATCGCTTATTGCATTTAACATCTTATGGAGTTGTTTGTCTTGATGTATCTATTTTTTTTCTTGATTACGATCATATCTAATAGCAAATCAGTTATCTTAAGTTAATTCTCTGGTTAATGAAATTAACTTTAAATATGATGTTTGAATATTTTAGAACTTCCATCTGTAGAATTCTATATCTAAACGGTTCTTCTGAAGATTGTCTGTTGTCCTAAAAATAGTTTAAATGGTGTTTATGCAATAAATATTGCCTATTTTTAACTTCATTCTATATTTTACCTTCATATGACGCAGTGTCTTATCATATAGAAAGTTGAACGATATTAATGTGAAATTTTTTATTGAATGGCCCTCTGTTGAATCATATAAGCATCAATGTTAAAAGATAAAAATAAAAAGTGGAAAAATGTATCGATACTTTTCACTTGTTATTCTACCATTATATGTATTAAGTTGCTGTCCTCCTAAATAATGGCGTGGTATGGTGTATGCAGATTATGCCATGTAAAGAGCTGGACAAATTCATCGAACTGAGGTAATGATTCTGTATCTAAATTTGTACTGCAATTACAAATAACATAAGAAACAGAAATCATATGAATAATTGAATACAGCACAGTCTTATATGAATAGCTAAATTAATAATAAACTCATCATATATACCAGGATTAAAATTTTGTACGCCAGACGCCTGTTTTTTCTACAAAAAGACGCTAAAATAAAAACATGTCATAAGGCCAAATAATGTACGAAGTTGAAG